CTCAATATATGGTTTTTAATACACATTTTATTAAATTTTTAAAGATTAAAAAAATTAAAATATTCATATAATAATTATTTATAAGATTATGCAATTTCATTAGGAATTTTTTAAATAAAAATAAATTATAAAATTTTTTAAAATGTTATACAAGTCAAAATAGAGTGATTCACTATAATACACAACAAATGATAATAAACCAATTAGGTACTGTTGCCTACAATAGGATAATTTTATAAAATTAATGCTAGGAAAAATATATAATGGTTAAGATTAAATAATATGATAATCATAATTATTCAGATATCCTAGTTAAAGTAGAACACAAAGCATTAGTAGACTACATACTATACATTTATTTTAAGTTAAGCAGTACACAAAATGGTGGTTAACCATATATTAGGAAATAGCCAACTTTTATTTTAAATTAATTTTTTTGATGTAATTATACTTGAAAACTTTTAGCTATTTTATATAAAACAAAAAAAAAAATAACTATCGAATAATATTACTTTGTGTTCAATATATAATTTTGCTTTGACACCCATTAATATATATTGTAATAAATATTTAAATCACGTACCTAGTTTATCACAAATTTCCCTCTAACTAATTTAATGATATATTTAAATATAATTGACAATGACCATTATGAAAATAAAAATATTGATTAACAAAAAAAATGAAAAAAATGTATGAATAATGTTGACGAATATTCAATAAAAATATTTCATATTCAAAAACATAGGTATAATCTAAAAGTAATGTTTATAACTACAGATATATTTTAATATAATAAAAATGTTTATCATGCCTAAAAACTTCATGAAAAAGTTTTCAGTAAAAATAATGAATATTTTTGTTATTTATAATGGTAAACAACACTATCTTACTACATATATAAAAACAATTTTAATATCAACATTTAGTTGACAAACCTTAATAATTTGTGTTGTTATTTTAAAATTTTAATTTCTTTGTTAGAAATAATTTATCATCAAATATTTATGATAGAAAAATTGTGGTAAAGCTATCACATAATCAGAGTATTTTTTTAATAAATCACTGATGATCAATGAAGTTAAAACAAAACCAATATATCAGTATACTTTACATACTGCATACATTCATCTTCAAAAACAAAAACTTATAAATTAAATAAATGAAATGTACTATTTATAATAACTATGTTAATCACAATAACAAATGTCAATATAAATTTACAGATATAACATTTTGCTTTGACAACCTTTGTTAACTAAAATATATTTATTAAGAATTGTCTGACAGGTAAAAATCAATCTAATACTCAAAGACTAAACATTTTTGTTCAACAAATACTGTTTTTATTTTACTATAATAATAAGTACACTACAAATGAAATAACTAATTTGTTTTTGTTATACAGATAACAAATAATAACAAAAACATACCATTATTTATATAAATTACTATCAGTCTATTAAAAGAACAGCAAACCAAAACCCCATTGATTTTTATTTGACACAATAGAATCATTATTGGAATAATAAACTGGTAAACAATAATTAATTTCGAATCTCATTAAATTGTTGATGTTTAATGCCAAACCAGCTCCATATGATAGTCGAACGTTGTTGATTAGTCCTTGTAAGTCTTTGGTTAGATTTCCTAGACGATTTCCAACATTTCCAGAATTCATAAATAAATGTATTTTTATTAAATGGGACAATTTATTTTTTTTAGATAAAAATGGAAGTGGAGCATGTAAATGAGTGTTGAATCTCCAAAACATTGAAGAACCTGTTATGCTCCCATCTTCTTTTTTACCCACACCACATTCTTCAAATCCTCTGAAAGTCAATGGTCCTCCGAGATAAAAGTTATCTAAAATGCTGGATGTTCCAAATTTATCTAATACTCCAAAAGAGAAAGATCCAGTAACAGCAAAATCAAGGATTGTTGTAAATGTTTGTTGAAGGGTAAATTCATTTTTTACAAACTCATGGCTACCTCCAATTCCAGCAAATTCTGAACAACACTGTATTAGGGATCCATAACTGGGAAACACAGCACTGTCACGAGTATCATAAGAAGCCATCATTTTAACAGATGACTTCATGGTAAGTCCAAGCTGTTCTCTTATACCAAATGGTGCATTATGAGCATATTTTAAATCTCTAGCCACTCCTTCCCACAATAAGTTTACTTTAAAATATTCATGGCTTAAATTCAATCCAGCATTTAAGCCGTACTCATCAAATGAATAGCCAAATTTATTTCTATCATAATGGTTCTTGAAAACAGTTGTATATAAATATGGACTAAATAAGGTAATTAATGGTTTTGTAAAACTAATGCTACCAGTAGAGAATTTTTTGTTGGATGAGTATATATCAGATATTAAATTTAATTTTTCGCCACGGCAGAATAAGTTTAAAAATGATACTCCAGTTGATAATTTAGGTTCAGGGTTATTGTCGAAATGAGCGTCAGATATAAGTTTAACATGTCCTTTAATCCAATTACATTCCTCCACTTTAATGGTAACGTAATATCTATCCTCTCCATTGACACTATCAACATCTAGTTTGGCAGATACATCATTGAAACACTCTAATTGCATCAAGTTTCTTTTAACTATCACTGTCTTGGCAATTACATCACTGATGGTTTTGGAATCAAATAGACATTTTGTAGCATTTTTAACGACATCATCTTTAGTTCTTTTTAGGCCAACAATATCCACACGATTTATCCTGATTGGTTTTGTCTCAATCAAGTTTGTAGTATCCAGGACCATGATTTGTTTTTCAAAGCTCACAGATAAAATAAGAAGTAAAAAAGTAAATAATAACTGTAATTTGATTTAATTTCTCACCAAACGATCTTTATCCAATGTGAATGTAGCCACAGATTTATCAAATGAACAAGATGCTAAACGTTTGCCGTCACAACTCCACCCAACTGAATGTACTTTTGATGAATGCGCTTGAAATTCCTTGACAGACTTGTGAGTTTTAAAGTAATCTTTTAATTCATTCACATTAACTTCAAAATGTTTCCAATAACTCATTATAACTGTGATACATTCATTCTATGGTAAAAATAAATAAATAATATGTAATAATTAAACAGATTAACATATAATTAATATATATTTTAAATATTACTTACAATTTCTGTAAAGTACTTAAGTTAAAAGAAATTATTAACTATAGAAAAACAAATTATATTATAAATTATAGTACATTAATATTATTAAAGCAACAACCGGTCATGGGCAAATCATAAATGTGATAGCCAATAAAGGTCTAAACTCAGCTAACCAGTAAGTAAAACAAGTACCAAACTACCAAACTACCCAACTACCAAATTACAGAAAAAAAAGCGGTTTATATCAGTATATATGAAAAAAACCAATGTTTCTTATCAATTTCATGGATATTATTATTAAACATGGAGCAAACGATACACCAGACGTTAACTACTAGCCGCCAAAAAAAGTATTTATAATATCCTCAAAGATTCCACCAAATTTCATCTATGATTATTGCTTCAATAAGTAAATTAAATTAGTATATAAATTAAGTTACGCAGTATACATATACTTGGGTTTTTTTTTAATTTTCGTGTGTTTTGGTTTTTTCTGATTTGTATAGTTCTTGGCGTTCTTGCACAGTACAAACGATGTAAATTATTTGAAAGTAATAAGATTAAACATTCTTATTATTTCGTTTCATTTGCACAGTGTTGAATAAAATATTTTTATAAATAGATATAAAAGATTCATATCCATAACTATAAAAACATAGTGAAATTATCTTATTATTATTGTTATTAATTATTTTATTTATTACTTTGTAGAGGTTATTAAATCCAATCCTTTATAAACTTTTAGCAAATCTACTACCTACTATTATTAAACTTTCAAACTGTTGTTGAATTTTAATATTTGTAAATATCGGCATTAACTAATTTATCTGAGCATACATTTTTTTTCAGATTATCACAAGCAATACCTACTTGAAGTTTGACTTATAATAAAATTTTTCTACCAAAACAATTTTGAATTTGCCAAATTATTTTTTTTTCACAAGAAAAATATTTGAGCTAGTTAGGGGGTAGGTAAATGCAAGTTTAAAGTATTCAAATCAATAAATGAAATTTTCTCACTTCGTTCTTTTATAATTGAAAAATTGGAAAGTAATTTACATAAAATTATTTATTTTTTTATTTTATCTATGTTTTAAATTTCGAAATATATTTTTTACTTCTTGGTATATCACGGTTTTATTGAATTCCAAAACATTTAAACCAACGATTTTGAAATGCTACTATCCAATTGTAGATTATTAATTTATATAGTGATATTATCAGAATTTGAGGAAACGTGTTTCTGAAACTTTGCAACTACAAAAGTCGATCAATAATAATTCCTCTGTCTAATAATTATTAAAATATATATTAAATAATTATTATAAATATGTGTTACCACATTTTGTACTCACATAAAATTTTAATTCTTTTCCTGCAGAAAACTATACAGAAAAGTAACTATATTAAGTAATCGTCAGGAAGTAATAGAGGAATCTAAACAAAAATTATTATTAACTCATGAGGCATATTTCGTAAATACCATATAATATATGGTACAAATCATTTATAATTTACTTTACATACAATATTTCTCATTTTATCAATTATTTTTTTTTTTCTACATAGTCAGTACAAAAACGTTTAGATAAAACTATTAGTACATTTTGAACCTCGAGGAATTTCAATTATTCGATTTTTAAGCTTTATCTTTTGGAATTAAAAAGTGGAAAACACAGATTGGGAATTATCGATTCCGCTGGCTACTGTTTAAAACATCTACATATCGATTCCGCCAGCAGAGGACGTCTCGCGGAAATGTGTTGACATACAACGCTCGAGAGATAGCGTTGTTTGCCGTATCGCCACCGTCGTAGCATGCCGAAACCACGTCCATTGTCTACGTAGTACGTACTACGCTACGGGGTCCATGCGTCCTAATCGCGGGAGCTGCACATTATTTCTTCGTGAATTATCGTTAAGAACGTTTCACATCAAACCGCTCATCGGCTCATCTATTTATTATGTATTATATGGTATGAGGGGCGTTCGCTCCCAGCTCACAAGTCAGTAGTCACCATCCATTTATTAATTAAAGCTCATGTTTGCCAGAATATTTTTGAATAATACATAAAATGTAGCACACTAACTATTATACAACACACCTTGATTTATATTTATAAACAAATTAGTTTAAAAAATAAATGAAAATTAATAAACTCATTGCGAATCTTTATTACGTTTTTTCAGTAATTGTGTTGCGTCTTTTACCTTATTACATATTGTTTATTTTCAATTACTCAGTTAATTATACATATAAGAAATATAATAATTAATACAATATAACGTTTTATTTATTTTTTTTATTTTTAATTTTAGAGCATTTGTGATATAATTTGGGTCGATGATATCGCTCGTCAAAAAACAATTGCCAAACTGCAGGTCAACGCGGGTTACCGACCATTCCTAAAAAAATACCACATATCTATGGTAATAGCTGTTATAAAAGTACACCAATTAGTAAATAAGTATTTTTCTATACCGGGACTTTTGTGCATCATTTTTTTTGAACCGCTCTAAGAAAATTACCACTATAGTATTATAACTTATAAGAAATAATTGCTGCTTGAACTCTGGTATTATAAGATTGCTTTAAAGAAAAGTTGATTCGTTTTGGATTTCCCTGAAATATACTTAATTATAACGCTGTTAAATTGCTCGCAAGCATTGTTTGTAACATATATAAGACTTGATGCATTTTCAACCACTCTTTTTAAAACTGAATTAACATTACGCATAAGTCCACATTTTTCCATAGCTGGTACATGATTTTCACAGTCAGCCGGTCTTTTACAAAAATAAATATCACATTGTGCACGCTGTCCAAAAATATGATAAGGGCTGTTGGAAATGTCTTGTTGAAGTCCTAAAATATATTATAAAAACAAATAATTTTAATTAATTAATTACCTTTTATTTTAGCAATATCGTTAATATTTAAGTTTTTCCTATATTGAATTGCCTTTCTTTGGTATCTCTAAAATTGCGGAAAATTCACTAAATCGAGTGTATCCTATTCCAATTCTAACGGTAGCATTTCACGATAGCTTTATTAATTGGTATAATTATGATTCAATTTTTTTTTTTTGATTCAATTTTTGTAATTAGATTACACAATTTACATTTAAATGTCCACGTACAAAAATAACCATTATGAATTTCTTTTACGAATTAAAGAACATCCAAATGTAATGTTATGAACACTATTTTGCAATTGTTGGAACGTCAACAATTCTTCGTCCAACTCTATGTTACATAAAAAATATTAAATAATAACATTTCAAAATCAATAAATTCATCACTCCATTCAGAATCTAAAATATTAACATATTTAATAATTATAATGAGTTATATCACAGTATTTTCAGTACTAATTAAGACAAAAAACAACTATGTTATTATTTTTAAATAAACAATAATATATTATTATTTAGTTTACTTTTGTGTAAGCCATAACGATAACATGTGCGTTCCGTTCGTAATGCGTTGCTTATCAAACCAATTTCCATTAATTGAGTCATTAAAAACACGCTAATGGCGAATATCGTCTCACCAATCGTCATTATAAACAAGAACAAAATTCAAAAAAAGAAAACGGTAGAAAATTCGTCAAAGAGAGCTTTATCGTCAACCTCAACCAACTCATCAGGTCATGAGGATAAAAAAAGCAATTTTTTTGTCTCGCCAAACCGATTCCAAGCCTTGGAAACGAATGAACAGGATAACGTTTTCGTCACAAAAGAAGCTCTACTCGTCACACAATCTAACGAAACCTCACCAAAACAAAGGAATGTTAAACTTTCAAGTATCGTCCTAACAAACAACCGATTTTAGCACAATACATAAAGATCTAACTCGCATTGTGGGCCCTGAGGGGTTCATGTGTAAAGCAATTAGATCTAATATTATCTTACGTTCAAACACACGGGCCAACTTCATGGCTATTAAGTCATATTTAATAGAAACCGAACAGGAATATTATTCTTATCTCCCCCGTTCCTCACAACCATTCCGTGTGGTACTACACCACCACTATCACACCACTCCTACCACAGATATCATAAACTGTCTAAACGACCTCAGGCATAAAGTAATCAGCATTACAAATATAACACACAGTATGAACAAATTGCCACTTCCACTATTTAACATCAGCCTAGTTCGTAACACCAATAATCATGAAATATTCAAAATCACTAAATTATTAAACTCAATAATAAAATTCGAATACACAAAGAGACAACTTGGTCCTCCCCAATGTCATCACTGCCAAAAGTATGGACACACACGCAACTACTGCCACCGCAATCCGCGATGCGTGAAATCTGGAGCTGAACACTTCACCGAAAATTGCACAAAATAACTGGAGGAACCAGCAAAATGTGCTAACTATGGTGGAAACCACACTGCTAATTTATAAAGGATGCCAAACCTTTAAAAAAATTTTAAGCCGCATCAAATCCAAAACCAAAACAACAAAAAGAGGTAATCACTAATCAACACACTCAAACTTAAGCTGCATCATCTGCACTTCACAGGAGTGGGCATGATACGCTACACTCAAACCCAAAAGAAAAACTCTCATATGCCGAAGCCACAGCGAATACACCACCATCCGATCAACCTCTGAAAATCGTCACAAATTTCCTTAACGAGTTAAAATTAATCTTAAACCCCCTCCTAGCTGCTCTAACATACCTAATAAAGAAAATTCCACTCCTCATCACTTCCACTCCTTAATTAATTAACACATGTATCAATATATCTTCTGATAATCTATACCATACTTAATAATAAATTCTAAATTGTATTAATAAACTTGTAATAACATGTAATATGTTGACACATTTTAAATATAATAAACGAAAAAAAATAACTTTTGTGTTGGAGAACTAAACTCAACATTAGAAATATCTTGATTAGTTTCTCTCATAGTATCTACAGTACTAATTATAAAAAAAAACAATACTATGTATTTATGTATAAGTATGAACTATAATGGCGGGAACTCGCTCTGTCGTATAGTAGGTGTCGAGTGAAATAAAAAAAATTGTGCCTAAGTATTTTAATCATTTTTCAATCACTCATAGATTAACTTATAAAAAACCTTCTTATAAATTTTAAAGTATTATGAAAAATATTATACTGTGATGAAAATTTCATTTAAAAAAAATGGTGAAAGTTTCAAGTTTCTAAGACTTTGGAAGGTGGGTACCGCTCTGCTGTACATTAGGTGCTGTGTGAATCACTATTACATATTATCGGAGTATTAAATTTTAATCCAATGATAGGTATCATTGTATACGAAAAACGATTCTGAACAAAGATGATTTGTCAGCCTAGGATATAAGAATTAAATTTAACCTAACCATAGAACAAAATAACATTTCAATTCAATATGTAACCTAACCTATGCAATATTGTTAAACACTTCAAATCATTATTAATTTATAGCATTCCAGTGCTATGTTTTAACTTCTATGATTGTGCCGCCATAGGTTTTGGAATAATTTGAGAAAATACAATTTCCTAAAGTTTAAAAGTTTTTTTACAAGCGTACAAGTATGCGTATAAGTAATAACGGAATATGGTCGATGATGAATGATAATATTTAAAATAATAAGAACAATGATAACTGATAACAATATGATAACCGATAAAAATGTGATGGATAATAACTAGAACTTGGTGATGAGCTCTTGGTACGGCGGGGTGGCTGAGAGTAGGATTAGGTTTTTGAAAAAAAAAACGACGAACGCCATCAGCTGAAAATTACTGCAACGGCAGCTCCGAACAACTTTCGGGCTACGATCGCGGAAGGTCGTCCGACCATCAGATACACGGGACTGACCACTGTACCGACGTACAGCGACCACAAGGACATCGCAGCTGCCATAGCTAAGGCCGACTGAACCAACGGCCGCTTATAAAAATACGCGACCGTGCACATTTGTGGCGTTTGGGCGTCTTCTTCTAATGTTTTTATAGCCACGTTCAGCACGCATTCGGCTAGCCTGGCGGTGACGGTGACCACGGACATTAAAACGCTCACCAACGACACGGTGGCCCATACCAACTGCATCGCCTCGTCCCATATCATTTGCAGCACCGATCTGAAGTCGTCTATGGGGCTCGTCGTGTACCACGCGTCGTTCACCATCGTCGAATCCATGATTTTTGTTTTTTTAATATATTATTTTAATATCGCAGAGGAGAACAAATAAAAAACGCTGGGATAGGTTTTTTTCCTCAATAGGCACGAAGATGCGTGACTTTTGTATCGGTTAAACAACGCGTATCCCGGGAAACGCGACGTGAAAAAATAATGCTGCAACGACCCATATGGTTGCATCACAAATCGCGATACCTAATACAGTACTATCGTATCATATCGATTGTGGTACAACGTTGCCCTAGACAGATTAAATAGTATTGTGGAGCGGATTTATTCCATTAAATTTAAACTATGTACAATTTTCCGAAATTTCAATATATTAGTTATATTATTAATAATATATTTAAATATTATAACATATCAGTCGATGAGCCGATATATATAAACGTTATACACACACACACATATATATAAATAGATATCTATAAACTATTCATTATTATTATTTTTTTTACGGCTGGAGCGAAATAAACGATATCATTTCACCTAAAGTTTTGGAATATTGCCAATTCAGACATCTGAAGATACCTAAGTCATAATTTTTATACAAAAAAAGAAAAACATTTCCTTCCTATTGCCGTAAATTCGTCGATTTTTATTAGACAACAAATGTTTACTCGTGTGCAGGGCTTGAATTTGAAAAAAATTTATTTTACGTAAAATAAATTTTGAGTTTAACGTTATTCAGGATTAAAATTTTTAATGTATTTTATAAATTATAACTATTAAATAATTGGAAATTAATTATTTCATTTAATGATATTGATATACTATAATTAACGTTTTGCATTATTTTTTGTTTTGTGTTATTCAATTATTTATGTTTATCGTTTTTCGTTATAATTACGTTACAAATCTCAATTGTTTTTTGTCAATTATAACGTTTGCAAGCCCTGCTCGTGAGACATTGTACAAACGTTCTAATTTTGACGTGGACGGGTGGACGTATTGGTATACCTTTATAAATATATATAATATATATTTTAGTTGTATTTGTTTATGGATAGCCGCTGAGAGATCTGAACGTAAACTCTTGGACAACGGCGAAAAGATGAAATTTTAATGAAAAATAAATACTTGTGGACTACTGTTTATAATATCCACACATCGATTCTGCTGGACACTGTTTATCCCCCCTTTGTATATGTATTTTTAAATATATAGCAGCGGTTTCCAAACTTTTTTAATTTACGTCACCATAAAAGATAAAAATAAAAAATTAATTGCATCTTCTATGAATAAATAAATAACAATTTTATAGTATTTAATTATCCAAATATTTTTATTGTTGTGATAAGATAAATCAATAATAAATATTATTAAATTTCTATTTAAAGTATTACAAAATTTTTAATTTTTATGAAAAAAAAAATAATTATTAATATTAATATTTATGTGAATATATTAAAAAATATTAAAATTTATAGTCTAAATTATATAAAATGATAATAATAATTGTATAAATCAAAATTAAAATGTATAATCTAATTAATATTAATTAATATGTCTTACACATGTACGACATATCAAATTTTCGTTCACCGATAAACAGCCGGCGGAATCGATATAAAATCGGCAGAATCGATATACGCCCAACACTGATAGTTCTTAATCGTTAATACAATCATGAACCAAATAAACAAATATTGTTGGGCATAATTTTATTAATTTATTCTTCGGGGTCTAAACACTGGTTAAAATAAAATAATGTGAGCAATTATTCGGTAAAACAAAACATTATACTACAATTGTCTATTATTGCATTTCACAATAAGTCGGTATGCATTTTTTATTTATTTTGTTTAGTTGAGTGGTTGATTTTAGATTTTGGCGGGATCTTGAACACTATCAGAAAAGAATAAAATATGAAGTTCGTAACCTCAAATAAGTGTAACCTGCAGCGCCCGTGAGTAAAAATTGAACTAAATCCGACTCGGCAAGCGGACAACTGATGAGGACTTTCTGTCAGGCCATACTATCGTCAAACACCGTGTTTTCGGTAGTCGAGGTCATCGCGGGCGGGCAGTGTCGAAATGTGTTGGCGATCGCGGCGGGCGGTATACCGGCAAAGGGACCGCGAAGTCGAGTGACCGCGGATCGACGTTTGACGGAGCGAAAACCGCGTTTGTAGTACCAGGGTCCCATGCGAAAGTGAACTGCGTTCACTGTGAAGCGATCGTAGCCGTTCATTCGTCGTCGGCGTGTCTCGATTACGCGGATGTTTCAGATACGTTCCTGGTACTAATGGTCTGATAGTTTGCGTTGAACGCTCGTATGAAGGTATGAAGGTTTTTTTTTTTATGAAGAGAACGTGTCATCTTAGAATAATATGCCGAAAAAAACACGTTTTCGTACTTAAGTAATACGGCTTTTTGAAGAGTTTTACGTGAAAAACACTTATAATGAAAATTGTAGAGGGGATTTTTACCTAGAATTGTATGGAGACAGATTTTTGATATTTTTATTAATGAATCAGATAATTAAAAGTTAAAACAATAAAAAGTAAAAAAGAAAAACATATAATATTCATTATAAAATATCGGAATATTAAAAAAATATATTAAAAATTGGGCTCTATACGATTTTATAAAAAATTCTCCTTTACATTTTTTATCATGGTTACCCTTCAATAAGCCGTTTTTTTAGAAATTTAAAATCATGTTTTACGTTTAAAAAAATTTAACCGCACACATCGTCGGCAGCAGCCTTTGATACTCGATTTTCATTCCTCCACCCCGCGCTCAGTATCGTACGATGGACCAAAATATGTTTTCTCATCGCAATTGATAAAAATCATCCTACTGCAAAACTATTATACTAAAAGTAAAATAAATGAAAAATAAATAAATAAAAAACTTAAATAGCTACATCAAAAAACACATAACTCTTAATATTACATTTACCATATTAGTAGTAATTAATTATTAAAAACATATGGGGCCCCGCAAAACTCTGCACCGGGTCCCGAAAACCATCGGACAGGCGCTGTGTATCAACTTACATAACTCAAAATTTAATATTTTAATATTATATTTCTGCATAAATGGTAAAAATAGATTCATAGTATATTTAGATAATAATATCTTAAAATAAATCAAAAATGTATAGTTAAATTCATATAATATACCTACACGGAAGTTCTAAGTTCCCACGAATAATATTTTTAAATTATAACAAAATAATTAACATTATTTATCTTTCAAGTGTCTAGTTGTCGGTCATCATAGGAGCTTGTCGGGTGTTTTTCGCATATCTAAAATAAATAAACTCCGAAAACGGTAATTGAGGGTCTAGCTATCAGTCATCACTCGGTACATGTCGATACCTGACTGGGCAATCTGCCTACGGCGCATTGTTATACCTCCTGAAGTCGAAAGCGTTGTGCCGTTCTGTTGTTCTGTACATAAAAAAGTTCAAGTCGAATCGAGTGTTTGATTAGTCAGTTAAACGCATTTAAACCTCTCAGGTAGCCGACCCGACTGTGTCGGAACACGGACAATGTGTGACAATAAAGTATTTTATACACTATTGAGACAGTACCGATGAGGTCATGGAGGTATCTGAGGGGGTTAAGACACCGAAAAGAAAACAACATGTATTTTATAGTTCATACAGATAAATAATGCGATTTCTTGAATAATAATAAAAAAAAAAAAAAAACAGTAGTATGACAATAGTAAATAGAGCTAATCGACTGTGAAAACACACTTTACGTAGGTACGCATTTTCCAAACCGAAATTAGGGACAAACGGCTTACAAAAGAGGCGTTCTACGCGATCAGAGATCGCGCGGACGCGAAAAAAGCAAAACTGACTCATATTCAAAGAAAAACCGGAGAAAAACGCTCGACCCGAGCCTGCTTCTGTTACTGCTACGGTTACGGCCGAGAACCGAATTTGTGAAAAATTAAAAAGCCACCCACACACGCACGGAACGAAAAAGATATGCTCTACGCGATTGACTGGAGAACACGACGGAAAATCGTCTTGAAAGACCGGTAATGGTGGTAATAATAACGACCGAAAACGATAACGAGTCGTCGATGGCATGTAGATGGAAAAATCTAATTTTCTGATTGGCAGTACACTATATCTATCGTAAAAATTTTATATTATTAGAAGATTGAAGAAGAAGACTATGATACTATTTATTATTATAATACCTATTTACAAGCCTTAAATGGCTTGAATAGGCACTTCCTATTATTAGATAATGATGGTGATAATTGATAAGTGATAAAATTATTAGTGATAACAGTGATAATAAACAAATGCAATTTACATTTTCTACAAATTTGATAATGCTTATTGTTTAATGCTTAAGTCAAAACCATAGTTATATTAGTATAACTCAAGTAGTATATTATACTTGTTTATGGTTATATATGCCTAATACCTAGTTGAATTAAGATGTCAAGTTATAATGATCGACGTCGAAAAGAGCGTGAAAACATCGGTTTGGTTGGCGTACCAGAAGTTTGGGAAAAATCACCTCCACAACCTGTTAACAAGTAATACTTATATTTCTAAATACATAACTTATACAAAACAACAAAACATTAGCTAATTTTTTGAATACTGAGATAAATTATTAAACATTAGTATTAGATATTAATATATTACATTTTGATTTCAAGATTTTTTCACTTTTTTTGTTGTTGAAACAGGTATATTAATTATTTTTTTTAATTAATTTATGTATTTTCTAGGAACATATGATAAATAATAAATAATAATTGTAGTCACTTTGCATTTTGTTCATAATAGTTTAGATTCGGATGACGAAAACACTTTAAAGCAAAACAATCTTGCAATTGATCCAATTAAGTTGCATAAAAAGAGGAAAAAACAAAAAGATAAATCTAAGGTTAGGTTATTATAAGTTGTAGAATTTGCAAATATTTTAATTGCTTAGTATTTTTTTATTTTTTTTTTACCTTAGAAATCAAAAAAATCCAAAAAAGTAAAAAAGCATAAAGAATCACATAAAAAAAAAAAGAAGAAAAAAGTGTCATCAGATAGTTCAAGTGGTTCAAGTAGTGAAGATGATGAGTGGATTGAGAAAAAAAGGTTAAAAAGCATATCATTTGTAAACAATATTTTCATGTAACTAATGAATTATTTATTTATTAGGTTCTAAAGAACATATCATAGATGACATGGTAGGACCATTACCAAAGCCTAATGTCACATTAACACAAAAAGAGTATGGCCGTGCTTTGTTGCCTGGTGAAGGGGCAGCCATGGCAGCTTATGTACAAGATGGTAAACGTATTCCTCGGCGTGGTGAAATTGGTTTGACATGTGATGAAATATCATCTTACGAGTCAGTTGGGTATGTGATGAGTGGAAGTCGGCATAGGCGCATGGAAGCTGTGCGTATTCGTAAAGAAAATCAAATTTATTCTGCTGATGAAAAACGTGCATTGGCTATGTTCAGTAAGGAAGAACGACAGAAGAGAGAAAATAAAATTCTTACTCAGTTTAGGGATATGGTAAAAAGTAAAACTTCAAATAAATAATTAGAAATTACATTTTATGTGAAGTTTGTATTAAATGTAAAATAATATAATTGACTGATAATAATATATAATTTATTTTTGTTTGAAAAAATGCAGTATATTTTTTCTCCAATAAAATTATATCAAATTCAAAAGTAAACTTGGAGAATAAAATAAAATATTTGTCATAACTTTAAAATAGAATTAATATTTAGTTAAAAAAATTAAATTTTGTATTCATTATTACATAAGGTATGAAAGAGAAGACAGAGTTTATAGATTGGTATATATTTGTGTGTGTGTGATGAGGGTGAATGCTCTCCTGACTCCTTGCAATACCCTGTGGAGTTTGGATCTTATAATTGTACGCTTGCAATGTACATTGTTATTTGTTTTTAGTTTTTTTACAATTATTTAAAATTTTTATATGAAGTAGTTAATAATATGATAAAAAAAGTTAATTTCTGTATTGATAAAACTAATTATTGTAGTTGTAACATTACTTTTTTAAGACATTTTTTATTTTAAGAGTGGGTAAAAATTCACTTTATCCATCCCTTCTTCCTAAGAAAGCTTCTAGGTACATCACTAGTTATATATTTCATACTTAATAGGTTGTTTTTTATCAAATAATTTACCGTTAATTATAAAGAAGTTGAATATATTTATCATGTATGAATTGCAGTTCTTTGACACTGATGTAAAGTAGCTATATAAGCTGATAGGTGATAACACTGAGACATATCATTTATTAGGTTTAGTATAATATTGAGACAGAAGTTATTGTTTCATTATCTTGGTGAATATGAAAGGAGTAACAATAAGCATATCTCAAACACAAGAGGCCAAGTGTTAATTTTATCAATATGATCAGTTTGATCAATATATTTTGACTAACGTATACCTGATGCCTAACAATATTAATGTTGTGATATGTTACTTGAACTTTGCGAGCTAAAATGTTTATTCAAGTGTTTTTGATGGATGCAAGTGTCTCATTTTTTGTAAGTGCTGAAGGCTTGAGAAGAGATAGTTACTGTTATGAATTTATTTCTACCTGCATTCTTGAGATCTTTAAGCAACAACATAGGTTATATGTAGTTTTATGCTTAAAGAGAATTAGTAAGAAAATTTTATACTTATATTAACTTTAAGCAATTTTTTTAGACACAGCTTTGGTACAAAATGAGTATGCATCAGCATCACTCATTGCATCATTGGTTATTAAATAAAGGTAACAGTAAAATAACAAATAGAAATCACGGAATGACATATAAATAAATATAATAAAAATAAAAAAAAAAACAACTAATATAATATTATTAGGTATAAAATAATTATCAGGATGTATAAAAATATAATAGGACCATAAATACATTTGATACAATGTATAGTAATACAGTAAATAAATATTGTTTAATTTTTTTCAGACAAAATTTATATTTATTAATTATTAAACTAAATATCAACAATAAAAATTAAAAAATTAATGTATACAACTATGATTATAAATATTAATTTGATATTAGTTTTTTTTAGTTGATTGAGCAAAATATTAATAATATAATAATAATTATCTTTAATTATTGTAAATAATGATTTTTTTTTTGGTCATTATAAAACTACTTAAGCTTTTTATCATGAACATTTACAAGTGTTCCAATACTTAATTTTTTTTTTAATGGATATCAAACACATCTTTTTATTATAAACATTGAAAATTTAAGTGTACTAAGATTGAATATATAAATTGTTAAATAAGCTGTTCATAATGAAGAGCCTTTGCACTAGAAATTAACATTTTCTTCACATTTCTAAATAAGTTACTCTAGGTATAACATATGAGTTCCTTTAATAGATTAACATAGTAAATAATAGGAATGTAAAGCTAGAATTTATTTTATAATGACCAAGAAAACACTATCATGTTTAATCAAATGTTTTCAATTAATGGCTAATCAATGGAAATTATCACTGTATAACTTTTCAATGAAGATCAAATAAAGTATCTGCTATATTAATTGAACATAGTACCAAGTAATTAAGTACTTAACAGCATATTCAATTTGAATGTTTTTACGGTAAATTCAGAATTTCAAAGTCTGAAAGTAGGTTATTCACTCTTTCATGAACCATAGAGGCCTTGGAAATCATTTCAGGCATTGTATTCAAAGTTTCTTCTAAAGCAGTATCGCCAATAGTCTAAATAAAAATAAAATATATTTATAGAAAACACATAATTATTTGTTTAAGATTTAAGTTATGACACTTTATTAACTATTCAATTTTATTTTAGATTCTAAGCAAAGTGATTAATGTATTGATTTTACAATGGTGTGTTTTTTGATAAGTGTAAAAGATGTATAGAAGAAAAATAATGATATTAACTACAACTTTGAGGATGGTTTCTGATGGTAAATTGGATTTAGTTGGTACTTTTGAGAAGTCAAATTTAAAATATTTAAGAAAATGGTAATTTTTACATTAAATTAATTTTGACCAAATTGTATAAAAAAATTAAAGGCTAGCAGACTGTCTCAGCTCAGAATCGTTTGTGACATGCAATGTTTTATACTTTTATCAATGAATTCAAATTTAACAAATTCATTATAGTGATTTAATTAATGATGAAGTATATTTAATACCAACTTTACAGCAGATCAGTACCTACTTTTTAATATTGAAGTAAAAATAAATGTTATCAACAGGTTTCTTCCTCAACACAACACTCATGTTATTTTAATCTATTGTAAATATCAAATTTAGTTTATGTAAAAATTGTATACGGATTGTAAATTCTCTCAATAATAATAAAAAATAAAACTAAATGAATAAAATAATAGGTAGTTAAGTATATATATTATGGAATTAAACACGGTTAGGCAATTTTTACTAATGTACTTGAAAAAATATATCTTAAATACTAGATCTTTACTTGTCAGTACAACCTTCAGTATTATCAATCATGTGATGTATGTATGGAGCAGGTATACTAGTATACACGACATCTTAAACTATATGTTAACAGCATAATTTTGTATGTTACAAATGATAAATTAGAAAATTTTAAGCAAAAACTAAGTCTCACTCATGTGGTCATGAATTCTTGTTAGACCAATACAACTAAAAAATTATCCACCAACAAATTTAAGATATAAAATATTTATTAGTATGTTAAATTAAATTTTCTTTAAATTTAATATTATTTTTAATTTTACAGTAAAAGTATAATAAAACAAAATTCCAAGTAGTAATTTAGCTTCTATTAAATACCTACTTGATTATACAAGATTCTTTGAGAGGGTAGAAAATTCATGGCAAACATAGCACCATTCCTAATAAGCCAGGTGTGATGTTTAGCCAATGTTTGGCTATATGCTTCTTTAGCCGAGCGTTTTGTGCTATCATTAGGTTGAAGTTGAAGCAGTTTAGACATGAACAGAATAATAAATTCTAAAATAAACATCAACACAGACAAAATAATCATAAGTCAAGTGTGCTTAAACACAATAATAGAACATCAATTAGATTTTTTACCAAGACCGCGATGCAATCTCAACAACGTCACGGAGCCAGAACAACCAGAAAACACCAATTTATTGGATATCTCATGGATTAACATACTATGTACAGTAGAAAAATGTTGCTCATCTTCAGTTACTAGCTTATTAAGGCATCCGATCTTAGCTTCTAGATCGTTGACAACGAAACTGAACAAGCCCCCGAGGTGGGAACAGAATCTGCAAAGGCAACAGAAAAAGCATCAGTATGAGTAATGTATTGTTAAAGCCTCGTGTGGTAACTACTTGCAAAGTTCTTGATAGGCTAACACATAGTTTTTAATGCCAACATCTTTGTCCTGGACTAGAGCATCTTGAAACGCATTATGAACTGCCACCACACTAAACATCTTACAATCAATGGATCATTGATTAATATTAATTACTATTGTGATTTATTGAAAGGGATAACTGGAAGCGTAGGTACTAATCCACTAACCACGACGACGACGAAAAATTATTACTGTAACATTATTTTAAGTAATATGAATTGACTGCAGTGTAATAAAAAATAATAATAGGAACTTTTAACTAAAATATAATAACATTGTGTATAGCATAAGCGTATTGGCGATTGTGCTTGCCACATCAACTACGGAACTCTTAAATAATGAAAGTCTGAAAAAACGAACATTGAGTGATAGCCGACAAGTGTTACACTAATTGCCAATTAGGTGCCGGTTTATTCGGTTTACAGTGAATAATTATTAATTTTATCATTTTTTACATGTTATTATCACAAAATTAATTTATTCAATGTCATACTTAAACCTAATAAAAAGTAAAAACACTCACTATAATCGACGTATCAACCGGATTTGTTGTTTTTTCGAGTTTAATGATAACAATAAATATATCATATTATTATTGTTATTGTTTTGTATATTATTATTATTAACTTGTTGTAGGACAACGGGCTAGTGTTGCCAGATAATAAGACCTTGACGTGAGATTACGACAATATTGTATTTCGGTATCCGTGGTTAGTACCGCGGCTATAATTTTTTTATAGTATTTATTATAGCCGAATTTAGTACCAAAAGACTTGACCAACGGTATAATATTATTGTAGAACATAATTTTGAGTATAAAACATTACGTTATTGGTGTTGCGGTGGTGGGTTCCGACTTCAGAAATCGTAAAGATATCAAATCGCAATAAATTAAAACTATCGAAGCCGATTATTGAAAACGAACATTTTTAGGACGCTTAATTAGGTACTGGGTAAATGGCCCGAGAAAAAATATAATCCTCGATGATTTTTTCAAGTGTTACTACGATAAAAATAAGTACTTACATTGATGTGAGCAATTATTTTTAGATGTAAATTACAGAAGCATAACAGGTATGTTCGTATGCACTTTGATTTTAAATATTATTAAAAAATTCTTCTTTTTAATGATGTATTAGATAAGTATTTAATAATTTTAATCTAAGTATCTATATATTTTATCCTGCAAAGATTGCCTAAGTCAAAACATAATATATTATAATTATTCACGAAACACTGACTGCCAACATAAAATGAATTAATTATTTTTAAAGTGTAAATACTTATTGGCTTTGATTGTTTCATTTATTCTTCATCTATTGTGTTCATAAACATTAATACATTTTAAAAAATTCACTGGATTTATAATATAGAGTAAAATGAGTAGGTAGTTCTAATTTGAGAAATAGTTTATTTAAGTTATTTAACCATAAGAAACTTGCAACTGGCAATATTTAAAAGCATTTGAAAATTTAATACTTAGTATTTATCTATTTATGCTGAAAAATTCTAAGAATCAAACTTAGAGTAAATGCATAATTGAATGAAAATATGTTGGAATTTATTCTTGGTGAATCACTCCATGAACGTAGATTGTAACGTAGGTTACAGCGATTATAAAATAATTAGTAACTGAAAAACATAATACATATATCTACTGTTGTTTGGGATAGGCGATTAGATTCCTTTTCTATGAGCTATACCTAAACTACTTATTAAAGTTGGTTAGTTAGAAGTGTGTTGATGACTTTTTAAAAAAAAAAATCTGAACGGCGAGAGCCATAAATCATCATACTTTAAAAATGATTCTGAGAAAATCTCATTTACTGATGAATAAATCACATTTTGTGTTAAAAACTTTATAAGCTCACTTTTGTGTTAAAATTTTGATTTATGATTTTCGAGATTTTTTAAAGACAGCATTATATAACTTGAACCACCTCTGGTAAAATAGAAAGTCTACATTACCAAATGTCTATCATTGAGAGACAAAAAATATCATACATGGATTAAAAATGAACACTTTTTTTAAAATGTTGAATAAACTACATTGAACGGGTTGAAAGTTATTTACTGAATTTAGTTTATGTTCTGTATATACCAAAAGTATCAATATTATTATTAATTATTGATTTACAAAATACTATAAATTGCTCTGATACATAGATGTGTAAATAATACGAGTATACATGCATGTACGTATTTTAGTATAGGTGTTTGTGTATTACTTAAAACTTAAAAGTGTAATTGGTATATTGTTGTTTTCATGAATTGAAACTTTGTTAAATAGAATATGTACCTATTGTACCTTTCCTAAAGGTTCTTTAGTGTACATTAAATTTAAAATTGATTTTACCTGTTACGGACTATATAATACAGAGTTACGTGAAACATTAAAATCATTATATTTATTACTGCAGTATGCGTGTTGTAAATAAATAAAAAAAAAAAGAATGCATTATTGATAAGTTAATGACTTACATTAAATTACTTATCCTTAGAACTTAAAATAAAAATACTTATTGGCATAGTATATAGATTATGGCAATTTTGGTAAATACGTTTTCAGTCAGTTGGAAAAAAAATATATGATTCGCCATTGGTAAAGTCGTATTCAAGTGAAGACGCGTTGTATATAAATTATTTTTTTTTTAACACATGCAATGGCACAGTTTTAAATAAAAATGGTAGATAGGTACCTAACCCATAGTAAATAACCATAACTAATAATTTTTGTAAAAAATATTTTTTTATAACACAACTATAACAGCATGTTTATTTTTTAAGCTTTAACAGCTAGGTTATGGTTGATAAATGAACTGAATAATATTTCAATGTTTTTTTATTTTAAGTTAATTATACTGTATTATTGTATTATTAAATTTTAGTATCGATACCGACGATACCAATGGATTTAGAGAAATTATGGATCAAATGTGTGTTTAGTGTTGTGTTCTTTTAGTGTTTCATCCATCGTTGAAGGTTAAGGATGTTTTTTTGCAATGACGGATAACGGAAAATCTAAAACTATGTGTTTGATTGTAAGTGGTTTGTTAGATTGGCTACAGTGAGGATGTTTTTTTATGTTTCATGATATTTATGTGTAGGTAAGGTTGATGTAGCCGATTCTTGTTCTTGTATTTATAATTTAAGAACGTCTAGAGGTATTAGGCTGGATATACTATTTATTTAGCATGTCTATTGTCTATCTAAAAAATATAAAACGAGTTACAGAAAGAAGAATTATGGAGAAAAGACCTTTAGAAAGATCTCGAATAATATGGAAGGATGTTGTAGGAAAAGATCTAAAAATGATCCACGAAAATTTAAAAATAGATGATGCGAATGATAGGAACCGATGGTATGAAATAATGATGGCAGCGATGAATTTACATGGTCCGTTAAGCCGTTAAGAAGAAGAATTGTCTACTTACATAAATGTTGTTATGTTGGAAAACTTAACATTATTTTGCTGTTTGAAAGACAATTAAAATGACTGTATTTGTTATGACGTATTTAAAATTTGTAGTTTACACTTAACCGCGTGGTTATCTAAGTGTGAAAAAAAATATAATATAATATTAGGGGTGGAGTGAGAACCAAATTCAAGACTTGAGATAAGTTCATAAAACAGGTCGCTCCAGCGGCATGATGAAATTGATGCATCTGGCACAAGATAAAATAAGTGACGTTGAACAGGTGATCAAAACGTCTAAACATTATAACGTTGGATAGCTACAAATAATTGTATATGCTGAGTTGGATAGAAATGTTAAATGGATTACATGGAACATGGATGCATTTAAGGAACTTTTAATGCGATGGAAACAGTCCGGAAAAGACTGCAGCATAGATTGTGCGTAATAGTACCAGCTTAAAGTAGGTAAACGACTGACTAATGAGAATGGAATAGAGGAGAGGTGGTAGAAAAGTTTTCTGTCCCGTGATCCATGCGCACTCCAATGCGAGTTGGTTCATTTGATATCATCATATTATAAATAAAAAGCTACGGTTTGAATATACTTCTCGAGGGAAGTTCCACTTCACATTGTCTTTAAACATTGCCGATATAAACAGATAGGGCCGAAAGGGCAAATACCAAAAAATAAAATATACAATATATATCTATAAATAAATAAAAAATAATAATAACGTTAAGGAAAATCCAAATAATTATATAAATAGCAGAAATAAATACATAATAATAATTACATAGATACATGATTCCCTTTAATTACATCAGCGAGAGCAATATAAATTGTAGCCGACCGCTAAACTTCTAATAATATGACAGCTTGTTAAATTATTGTGTACTGGCCATATGCAAGTTTTTTAGAGTACTAATGTATCAACATAGGTAAAATAACACAAAAATAACTATAGACGATGAGACCAAAATAAAAATAACAAAATTAAATACCGTGGATCAGAATTTACGTTTAAGTTATAGTAATAGTATAACGATAAACAAAGAGTTATAAATCAAAAACAATAATTGGTAATACCATTAATACCTATCATCTATCACTAATAAGTTTTTTATTTCATTTTAGAAAAAAGGTTGGATTGCTATAAAAATTTCAAGAAATACTTGCATGTTCACGGGTATGGCGTACATTATATTCGTAAAAAAAAAACTTGCAAAATTTTTTTTTTTTACTCGGAAAGGGCTGAAAATACGCATTTTAGTCAGCTTTGTGTGATTTTGATTTGGCGGGTAAGGAAGTATTAACTATAGTACTTAATAACAACTTAAATATGAAGAAGTAGGTAATCTAAAAAAAATTACAATGAAAGGAGATATAACCCTTAACCTCCCGCCCTATATTCACGTCATTGTACGAGCAATAATCCTGAAAATAAATAAATAATAATGAAGTATGCAACAGCGCAACGCAGAAAATGGAATGCACTGGGCATAGACACTGTGCGCACTTTAAATGGATGGTGGAACGCGTCTCAACGTAACGCGCGACTGAACAACAGAGGTCGACATTTTGATGAAATTAACGATTAAGGTAAACACGAAACAAAAACTTCCACAAATAGTATGCGTTCAGACTTTGGTGTACACACAGCATGAACAAATTTATTAATATACCGCACAACGTAAAAAAAAAAAAAATTGAGTCGCGAATTGAGTGAAATGATTGGTGTATTGACACACACAGTGAAACAGAACATGATACAATGTATGATATTGATTACGATGAAATAACTATCTAAGAGGAATCTTGTATTTAATTTTTAAAACTTAAATATAAAAATGAAAGTTTTTTTGAATATCTTACTAAAAAAAAATTTGCAAAACGTTTTGTAATTTTTACAAATATTGACAAATTTTTTTATATAAAATGCATATAAAAACAATGTATCTTTGTCTTTTGAATATTTTTATACAGATATAAGAACAATTTATATGGAATCTTGTGTTAAATTTCAAAAAATTTTGATTTAGTGAATAATTTATTTATCAACAATCATAGAAAAAAACAAAAAACTT